AATATGATTCAGTATCCAGTATGCCAGAGGACATGTGATGTGATTTAAGGATAAACTGCACTTTCTGGAGACCAATGCTTCATTTTAATATACATTTGGAAGGGTGAGTGGCTCCAGAGGCCACAAAAAGAGGCCAGGCCAGTATGCTGCCCACCCTGGATGTACTGCACCTACAAAGCAAAGAATACAGTCTTTCACAGGATTCGCTGTATTCAGAAAGTTCAGTTTTCCCATCTAATCTCATTTTCCCATCTAGAGGGTAAAGCAGCAGCAGGACATGAACAAGAAAAATGGCACAGGAAGGCCTTAGAGATGGAAGACCAGATGCTAGTAGCCAGATTGAAACCTTGGTTTGCCCTGCTGACTATCCTTACTATATTAGAAGAGTAAGTGCACGTAGAACAAAACAGTACTAATAGCATCCCACCACAGAGCCCAGCTTCAACTGGAAAATTTAAACTCTTCATCTGAGTTTTTTGTGCAATGAATGGTTCTAGGCACAAATCCTAATGGAAAAGTCCAGCCTGACAGCACTTGTGTGATCTTTTTCTTTTTGGACGGGAGATACAAAAGCATCTTACGTGCATCCTGATCTCAACAAATGAATCTTCCGTAGTGCCACTGTTGAGTTTAAGCTGCAGCTCTGAAATTATGGCAACCAGATCTGCCTTTTCAGCCTGCAGCTTTGTCACCTGCAACTTCAGCTGCTCCAGTTCTTGTGCCATCTCCTTTTTGGAAACTGTACATCCCTAGAAGGAATCAAGAGACACGTTTAAGCAGTTCCAAGAGCAGCCAGGAATTATAGGAGAAGAGAATGAGGGGCATTCCACATATTATTCCAGTATGTCAATCTCAACATGTATCTGTCTGTACACTAAGATTTTCAGCAATGGCCATTCTTTAGCACACTTTCCATAATAAATAGGTGGATACTGGGGAAAGGTCTACCCTCCACTGAGGGTGCTCTTACTTTGGAATGTCAGTTGGCACTAGGCAAAATGTTAATGCTTACTGTCAAAGGTCCCAACCTGAAAAGTTGAAGGCTTTCACGGCTGGCAACCACATTTTTTGTGGGTTTTTTGGGCTATGTGGCCGTGTTCTAGAAGACTTTATTCCTGACATTTCCAACTTGGGTTTGGAGGTGCGTCAACCATCCTGGATGGGGTTACACTTCCCCTGAAAGACTCTGTTTGCAGCATTGGGGTGCTTCTGGATTTGCTGCTCCAAATGACACCTCAGACAGATGCGACAACCAGGAGTGCTTACTATCAGCTTTGACTGTTATGCCAACTGCACCTCTATCTAGATTTGGAGGACCTAAAGATGGTACTGCATGTGCTGGTAACCTCAAGGCTAGACTTTTGCAATGCGCTGTACATTGGGCTACCTCTGTACCAAGTCCAGAAACTTGAGTTAGTTATAAACATGACAGCGAGACTGATTACTGGGACATCCAGAAATGATCGTATTACACCAATATTAAAATCACTCTGCTGGCTGCCAATTAGTTTCTGGGCAAGGTACAAAGTGTTATTACCATTTAATCCCTACATGGTTTCGGTCCAGGTTACCTACAGGATCATCTCCTGCCATATAATCTGCCCTGTACACTCAGGCTTTCGACTGACATTTACTCCATCAGCCAGGACTAGGTTGGCAACTGTCAGCCAGAGGACTTTTTCTTCAGCCACCTCTAGACTGTGGAATGACCTGCCAGAAGAGATATGTCAGCTGTTTAAGCCATCTGAATTTAAAGGAGCATTAAAGAACAGTTTCTTCCAGCAGGCTTATCCAGGTGATATTTAAATTGCAAATTTTAAATGATGAACTTTAAATGTGGATTGTTTTAATATCTGCACATCTTATTTCTTTTAAATTGATGTATGTTTTAAACCAGGGGTAAGCAACCTTTCCCCTTTAAGGACCGAGAGACTTCAGCTCCCAGAAGCCTCAGCCATGTTGGCCAATAGTCCCATGTTGGCCAATAGCTCCTGGGATTCTGGCAGCTGAAGTCCCTCGGCCCTTAAAGGGGAAAGGTTGCCTACCCCTGTTTTAAACGATGTGTTTTTAACTGATGTTGTTTGTCTGTTAATTACTGCTGTTCCCTGCCTCAATCCATGGGGAGAGATCGGTAAGAAATAATAACAACAACAACCTCACTTAGCATGAGTAAAGAAAACTCTGGGACATTCTGATCATCAGTATCACATTGTCTCAGTACTCACAAGACAAGGAACAAGAATTTCTTGTATGCAAAGGGATCTTGTAGCGCCTTTGAAACTAATTGCTTGTTCACTGTTTGTATATCTTTGGTTGACCTAACAAAACGTTTCGATAAAGCTCCTGAAAAATACAGGCCATTTCCAGTTCAACTCTGAGCATGTTTACTGGGTTTAATGGGGCTAATGATTTCAGCCTTCGACAATTAGCTATTTATAGCATCTATGACTTGTTCATTCAACAGGCAACACACAGCCAGTTTTTCTAGCTACATCAGTTTTTCTCAGCATATCCAAATACATCCCACTGATTGACACTGACACACACATTTTACTTACATTTGTGGATTCTTCACCCTTTTCTTCAAGAGTTTGGAGCTGCTTTTTAAGTGTTTCATTCTCAACACATTTGGTTGCTAAGCACTGCTTGGCTTCCTTGAATTTAGTCTCATAAAACTCCCGTTCTTCCTTCAGCTTCACTCTCCATGCCGAAAGCTCCTCAAAGCGTTCCTTCATAGCTTGGTTATGCTGCCTCATGGCTTCTGTTTGATGTACAGAAACATAGCAATAGCATGTGTCAAAACATTACTTTCCCACTCTCTCCCCTCCCCTAAAACCTGAACAACTGTTTTTGTTTCTGGAGTTAAAACAGGCCTGGATTTTTCTTCTGTTTTGCATTGTTTGTTAGAGAAGGGTCCCTGGGAAAGATTCTTAAACTATAGTGGAAAATCAGGACCAATTCAAATGCTTACAGCACTCCTTTTCATTCAAGGATGGGAAACATGTGGCACTCTAGTTGGTGTTAAACTATCATTCTCTTTAGCACTGCCCAGGTGAAAGAGCTGCAACATCTCTGGATGGCCCAATGTTCTTCATTCCTATTTTAAGCTGAAAAGAAAATATACTAATAATGTGAATTTCTCACATCATCTGAATGGATTTCTTGTTACAGAAGACCAATCTGCTGGCAGCGGTTGCCACAGAATCTATTGCTTGCTATTATTTGCAGCAGTACAGAGTAGCATTTATTGCACTTCAAGGCTAATTTCACTCAACCAGAAGAGTGAAACTGTATCATGGGAACCGTAGTTTATTATGACACCAGAGCTCTCTGACAGAGAAGGCTCAACGTCTCAGAAAAAAATACAATTCCCATGATTCCCTAGCACTGAGCCAGGGCAGTTAAAGTGGACTCAATCTGCACTATTTCTAGCAGTCCGCAAAGGCCCTTAAGACAGTCTTCCTTGTATGTTATTAAGTGTGGCAGAGTTACCCATATATATTCAACTATAAGTTGGCTTCATGTATAAGTCGAGGGCAGGTTTTGGGGTCAAAATTATGGATTTTGATATGACCCGTGGATAAGTCGATAGCAAAACTTAGGGGCATGTGACTAAAATTTCTAGACTTATACATGAGTATATACCAGGAGTAGGAAACCTTTCCCCTTTAAGGGCTGAGGGACTTCAGCTGCCAGAATCCCAGGAGCTATTGGCCAACATGGGACTATTGGCCAACATGGCTGAGGCTTCTGGGAGTTGAAGTCCCTTGGCCCTTAAAGGGGAAAGGTTGCCTACCCCTGGTATATACAGTACGTTTTTGGACTACAGCTCTCAGAACTCTGTGCTGGTTGAGGGATTCTAAGAGTTCTAATCCAAAAGATAATTTTTCCAAGCTCAGATATACTTCACTGTCCACAAAGATCTGTTTCTGTACAAACAATCCCACTGCCCAAAAAGGACTGCCTCTAAAAATGAACAAGGAACCTTGCAAAGGAGTAATCAAAACCCACTAGTCATGTATCAAAGATGAAGGGGACAGTTCATAAGGGGAGTTATCTTCTGTTCAGATATCTCACACTACATATGTGCTATTTTATATGTTCAGCACTCAGCACTGCATGAGGGGGTGATCAGTTTGAGTAAATTGAGCATTCAAACCAGCAGCAATTTTACTTCAGCCCCAAGTTTAGTTCATAGCAAGGTCAGGGCTCTGAAGAAATCTCAAGCAATGTTAACTCCTCACCTTTAAGCTCATTATTCTCAGTAATGAGCTCTTTCATCTGCTGGACCATCTCTTCAACTGTTGTGGTCCCAAGCACAGGCGCTGGCACATTTGGGTGTCCATTTCCGACCTCAGTCTCACTGTGTTGCCCATTTTCAGCCAGACCATTTATGGGCTTCTTGGACATTGCTACAGCTACTTTGGAAAAGAGAAAAAGAATAGAATTAAAAATACATCTTCCAAGGTCAAGCATGCAATTTGTGTACATGCTGGCATGTGACACAGTATTTGTACTATTCTATTTTGTGCAGGCCCTCACCTGATTTTTAATAATTTTAAATAGTAATCAATATTGCTTCTGTACTTAGTGATAAGAACAATGGAGAACGTTTTTGACAGGTTTGCAACATTTTCCTTCCTCCACACATAAAATGAACACATGGAAGAGACCACATTTAGTGTTTCCCACATGCTGGCTCATTCACTAGCCATGGTTCCCCAGCAGTCATGTATTGGCATTCATGCGAAAGGGCTATACCTGCACAGAAGTCAGAAACATTTATAATAGTGTTGTTTGCCTTCAAGACATTTTTGATTTATGGCAACCCTAAGGCAAGGAATACTTCTTAAGGCACCTCACTGCATGTAGAGGAGGGCAGACCCCCCCCCTGCACCTATCATGGAATTTTTTTTGGCAAGTTTATTCAGAGCACGTTTGCCATTGCCATTTCCTGAGGCTGAGAGATTGTGACTTGGCCAAGGTCACCCAGTGGGTTTCCAAAGCTCAGCAAAGATTCGAACCCTGGTCTCCAGAGTCACAGTCTAATGTTCAAACCACTACACTAAAATTAAATTGTTAAAAGAAATTAATTTGTTAGTGTTAAACTTTTAATTAATAAAATTGTTTCATTTCTTACATGGCTAAATTGTTATTTAAAGGCCATGGTGACTAACAAAGTTTAACATTGCTGAATAATATTATTGAGAAATATTACTAAAATGGCATTGTTGGCATTTATCGATGAAAACAATGCAATCTGATTTTTTTTGGGGGGG